GACTTAAAAGCATTATTGGATTCAAACAAACAAACAGCAATCAAAACATAATTGTATGCTTCTAAACACTAATCCTCATGAATCTCAAGGGTAATTGGTTAAAAAAAATCACAAAAAATGACTTTATCAAAAACAAAGAGAAAAATAAATCTTGAAAATTTTGCTGCATTAATAATAGAAAAATCAGAGACAGAAGAGTAAGTAATGGCCTAAGAATCATGTCACATGTGTCATATGACTCCAGTAATGACCCCAGCTCCTTAATTATCTATGGGAAAAAACTTACTCATTATCTTTGGGTTTCAGCTTTTACATTTTCAGAATGCATGGAGGAAATTTTGTAATGTTTACTCAGTTTTCTTAGAGATGTAAAATTCTATGAAGATGAAATTATTAACTTATTATAATTAGATTATATTTAAAACTACTTACATGTTTTAAGAGAATTTCTTTTGCAACAGAACTCATTTCCTGCTAGATCTGAAGAGTGAGGGATGTAATGCTTGTCCAATGGTCATTAAGAATCTTAAAATGGAGCTTAGAAAGTAAAGATTTTTGATATCTGTAGATAGAATGATAGATGAGAATTATCTCTAAGTCAAAGTTCATTGGTTAAAATGCTTTATTACCTCTTTACCTAAAATGTTTCTGTTGTTTCCTGTGAGAAGATTTTGAGAAACAGGCAATAATAAGAAGTTATTGAGCATTTACTCTATTGAATAGCGTCCTATGCCTTTGACAGGTAATATTTTATTAATCATCATGACAACCCCATTAAAAATAATGATTTTAAATAATGATTGACTTGCCAGAAAAGTGTTCATGATGATCAGATTCTTCTGTGTTGGAGCAATGTGCTTTGGTGTTTGACTATTCCTCTTATTCCTTGGAATTCTGTCTCCACAATTTCCCTGGGGTGTCATTTTCTTATCTTTAAACTAGGTAATTAAGGTCCAGTTTTAATATTTATTTTATGGGTCAGTAAATGTCCTTTGTGAATGGCCTGATAGGAAGTATTTTTTGCTTTGCAGGCTGTTACACAGTCTCTATCAGAACTACTCATTCCTGTAGCTATATTGTGGAAGCAGCCATACACAATATGTAAACAAATGAATGTCACTGTACTCCATAAAACTTTATTTAGAGTCACAGGTTCTATTTGGCCAGTGAGTTTTACTTGTCTGACTCCTAAATTACATGTAAACTATATTTTCCCTTCCAGACCTCATAGAATTATTGTTTTTATCTTTTAATTTTATCTAAAACTAAAATGAGAAATTTGTTACATGCAATTGAAGCAAGAAGAGACATTTATTTTTAAAAGTAAAATGTACATCAGTAAGAAGAGATCTCTTTTGGTGGGCTGAGTAGATACCTATCAATTCCCTATTCTGTTCCTTTCTTCTTGGTTGTGTTGAGAAAGGTCTCAGAGGTTTCTGTTCTGATAGTGACTCATAATACTTGAGCTCACATGGATGAAACCATTGATTGGGTCCATTTTTGTATTTCCATGGTATTCAATAATTATAACAGAAATAGGATCTGGTTACTACTAGGGGTCCAAACATATTTTTATCTTGCTCCTTTCATTGTTAGCAAGCAAGAAAAGAGTAGTAACATCCATTATTGGTTAATATATAGGCGGGAGAAAAAATACATAACATTAGCCGCTCCTTTTACAACATGGTTTAGTATAAAAATGATAATTTTTTTTTTAGCTCTAGCTTTTTTGGCTCAGTGGATAGAGTAAACTAAAGGGTCCCTGGTTTGATTCCAGTTGTGTACTTCGGTTGCAGGGGATGGTTGGAGTGTATGTGAGAGGCAGCCAATAAAAGTATCTCTCTCACATTGATGTTTTTCTCTCTGTGTCTCTCCTTCTCTCTTTCTACTTTCTTTAAAAATCGATGGACAAATATTCCCAGGTGAGGATTATAAAAGTAGGAGGAAAAAAAGATAATTTTTTTGGTATATCTCCTGAGACAAGAATTACTATGAAATAATTAAATAACTGAATAATAATTCACAACATTTACAGGCACAATATACCCAATACACCTTTATTCTTGACACTTTTATGGAGACATTTCTGCAATATGTCGGAATGTAACAGGGCCAATATTCTGGATAACTGGTTTTCCTTTTATAAAAGACGAAAGGAGACTTCTGTTGGCTGTTATCAGGATAGCTGCTTTCAGAATAGCTGGTATCAGACTAACATTTCCACTGAGAACAACTGTAAAAGCTGGATATGATACACACAAAAGCTGCTCAGAAGCACCAGAGAAGAGCCAAAAGAGTCAGGATTGGAGAAACTATGCTCCAAGAGAGACAGGAAATGCATTAAAGTGAACCCTGAGTTCTCTGCTGCTGCTTCTTGGGACATTTGCCAATTTCCTGCAGGTACAATGAAGAACAGAGAAGTCACATCCAAAAGTGGAGTGCAGGGCTGTAAAGAAATCAGAACTTGAGAGGCCAAGATCACCGGGAAAAGAGAGCTGCAGAGCCCAGCATTCTGTGCACACTGTTCTCTCTGAGCATTCCTGGACTCCTAAGCTAAGCACACAGGACAGAGCACACTGAAACTCAACAGCACATATGTAACACCTCAATCAATGAAGAAATTTAAAAAAGAAAGAAACCCAACAGCAAGTAGCTACTGAAAGCCTACATAGAGAATATGCCTGTCTTGTTCTGCAAAGATAAAAAATTAGATTCAATTTCCCACCGAGTGAAACGGTGCAAATAAACACTTCAGAGTTTTAGTTGTGAACCTAAGAGGATGAATCTCAACTAATATGAAAAATTAGAAAGATCACCCTCTTCGTAATACAATCCATACTATGTCTTCTGAGTTCTCTCTCTAAAACCTCCCTATTAATAGCCTATTGTTGACCAGAGCTTTATCAATAACATAAACAGTCAATTAGCACATATTATGTATGTTATATGTGTTATATACTGTATTCTTACAATAAATTAAGTTAGAGAAAAGAAAATTTTATTTAGAATATCATAGAAAAAAGAAAATACATTTATTATATTTATTGAAATAATCCACATATAAGTAGATCAATGGCCTTCAAACCCGGATTATTCAAGGGTAACCTTGTGTCTTAAAAGACATATCCAAGAAGGTAGGTAGCAGCAAAATTCATATTAGCTTCAAATCAGAACCAACCCTAATGCCCATGGACACGAGAATGAATAAGGTTTAGCATATTCATAAAACAGAATATGATAGAGTGATGAAAAAAAAGACAACTACTTAAAACAACTACTTAAAACAGCACGAACAAGTCTCAAAGATATACGGTTGAGGTAAAAAAAAATACGCACACACACACACAACAACAACAACAACTAGACACAAAAGAATGCATTTCATAAAATTCTATTTTTATGAAAGTTCAAATATTGCTAAAAGCAATCTCTGGAGACAGAAGTTAGAATATGCCTACAGAATATGGGAAGAGTGTAGTGAATTGTGGAAGCAATAAATTAGAGAGCCTTTAGGGTCATGGAAATGTTCTGAATCTTTGTGAGGGTGGTACTAAGTACATAGGCGGTTTACCTTTTTGAACGATGCATTGAGTTGTACATTTAGGATTTGGGTCCTTTAGTGTAGATATGATATACTCCATTAAAAAATATTTTTGAGACACACATACACACACACACACACACACGTGCCTTTAACTATGGATTACAAAGAAGGTCCACAGCACACTTTCTCCCACTCCCTCTGTCTTTTCATTGTCCGATTCCTTGTTCCTCTCCCCTAAATTAGCCTGCTATTGAATGTCCAGCTAGCGCTTTTCTCCTACCTTATCTTATTTCTGGGATTATTCCTTTTCCTTCCTTTTCATAAGGACCTTTTTTGCAGTGACCTAACTGTACTGCCCACTTCACAGTAGCCCTGGCATATATGTAATAAAATGTTTAATATCTCTATTTACTTAGCCCAAGTTTTTATGGGACTATTAGTATAGCAAGTATAATAAGCCCAGGGTACAGTTAACCTCCATTTACTTCCCTAGTTATGTGGATTCCACATTGTAGTCGTTTTAAAGGCTTGGAGGAGCCTCATTAACTTTACAAGGCAAGACTGGATTTACAGAACCAATATCTATGTGGGGAAAGCAACGCCTGCAGGTTCTGCTTTCACTGGGACTTTGCTTTTGCCTTTCCCTCCCTAACACAGATGTCTTTTATAAAATTACTTTTTGTGGAACAAAAGCAACAGGCGATTTCCAATTAAATGCAGATGTCAAGGTTTTCTCTTCCTACAGGCACTCAGGTGCTGAGGATTGCCCGAAAGCCTATGTATGAATTTGATGGCTCTTAGTGCAGTTAATGCATTTTACATTATTTTGAATATTAATTATGGTGTAAACACTGCCTCAAGCCCATGTTTGAGGTAGCATGTTTTTGAAACAAAGTTGCATATGTTTTAAGTGACCTTTCTAAACAAGTTTAAGAAGTTTATTATCAGCTTTAAATCATTTTTCTTTTCTGTTTTAACTAGCTCTGCTTTCCAGGAACTAGAAAGTAAAATAATTAAATTCAAAGCTTCTTAATTGTCATTCGGTTTTGATGAGTGCTTAACTGTGAGGCTTAACCATTTGGAGCATATTATGAAGGAATAAGTGAGACTATGGTGCAGCCGTGCTTCACTATTAGCAAGTCTGATACACATTGGATAATTAGAAGGAGGAAAATATACAGAATACTTAATTAAATGCCAGGTGATTGGATAGGTATGACATGTTTCAATAGTACATGTGCAAAATGCATATTAGATGCTATAAATATGTAGATAATTGGTTAATCAGGTGAGGCTGTGTTTTTCTCAAGTGTTCCCAGCTCTTTTCCAAGGCATATGGTGAGACTGCACTTCTCCACACCCTTGATACAAGGTTTGACCACATGACTTGTTTTGCCAGTCCAAATGTGAGAATCCCTTCCAGGTGGGAAACATTTAAAGTTACTGTGAGACTTACCATCATTTATTTCTCTGCATCCAGGCGATGGCTATGTTCTGGAGCGTGCCTGCACTGGGAGCCTGGATCCATGACCAAGAAGGATGCCCAGAGAACCTGTGACAGACAAGTTGCTCCAATGAGAAATAAACCTCCGTGGATACAAGCTGCTGAGACTCACAGGTTATCATGTCCGAATGTATAACCCAGTAGCTCTGATTCTGAAACACGCTGAGCCTACAATGAAGGCAGCTTCAGCACAGGTGCTCAACAAGCTTTTTCTAAACTGAACAGCTAGCCCACGTTAGTCACTGAGGAAAATATAAAGATGAGTAAAAGATCTACCCTTAGCAAGGCATAAATTTGAGAAAAGCCAGTAGAAGGCTAAATTTCAACACAGAGTCACAAGTCAAGAGTGGCTACCGGATAGTCCATAGTTAGTGTCCAAATAAAGGTCACCTGTGATTAAAGCCGGGGCTTGGGGCGATATGAGTAATGATTAGGGGCAAGCTCTAAAAGGCTTCTTGTAAATAGAAGGACTTTAGTCAGGTTCTTAAACATTGGTAGGGTTTTAAAGAGACAAAATAATTTCTTTGTTCCCTGATCAGGAAAATATTCAGTTAGTTCCAGTATGGCTCTGATGCCTCAGGGTCAAAGTTCATGGTCCAATATCAGTTTTAGCATATTAGAACTGGTTAGAATAAAATCCAAAAGTAAGTTTGTTTTTTGTGTTTAATTGTTATTGTTGAAAGTATTACATAAGTCCCTTTTTCCCCCGCAGTGACCCAAAAAGTACGTTTGGATATTTTAGGCAAGAGCTGCTGTAAGAGAAACATTTTTTTTTTTAAATGTTCAGAGTGTCCTTGTCCATGCCTTGCACTAGATTTGTGTCTCTGGCAATGTTTCAATAGTACATGTCTACTACTGCCTAGTTCCTCCCTTTGCAGGAACGCCCTCTCACCTTCCTTCTTACTTGAGTCTGGGCACCTAAAACTATATTTCCCAAATTTCCCATGGAAATTTAAAATTACCTTAATTTATTACAAATTTCTTCTAATTTTTTCTGCCGGGACCGGTTTGGCTCAATGGATAGAGCGTCGGCTTGGGTCCCGGGTTCAATTCCGGTCAAGGGCATGTACCTTGGTTGCGGGCACATCCCCAGTGGGGGGTGTGCAAGAGGCAGCTGATCGATGACTCTCTCTCATCGATGTTTCTAACTCTCTATCTCTCTCCCTTCCTCTCTGTACAAAATCAATAAAATATATTAAAAAAAACAAAACAAATTTCTTCTAATTTTTGAATCATATTTTACTTATTAAATAGCTCCAGACTATATTTCAATATTAAGATCATTTATTCCTTACATATGGCTCTGAAATAAATTCTATTTTTTGCCCAGTCCCCTTCACTAGGAAAAGCACCTGCAAAAATATTTTTCTTGTAAATTTATAAAATTCCAAATATTTTCTGTCTGGTCAATATATATATAGGTTTGAAATTATAGATGTGGCCTAGAACACCAAAGAAGACAGAATAAGAGGAATAGCAAAAAATGCTGTAAGAAATGAGAAGTACAAAGAGAAATGGAGCAGAGGGAGAAGAAAGAAATGCAAGGACAACAAGATAAGAACCCCAATGCATCCCACACCTCTAAAATTATAGACACCTATCTAGTCTGTAAAATACTGTTACCTGAAGACATGTATGTGATCAAGGCCTTGAAGAAAATGATTAGGATTTTTACAGCTCAAGTTCAGGCACAGAGAATCATGTGGAGAACAGATTTACATTCCCTTGTACCTTCCTTCTTGGCCTGAAATAAAATATTTGACAACTGTCTCCTTTTCCAACGCAGAAGACTTGATTTGGTTGAGTTGCTACTATTTTGTCATGGGCATTGGCTCTGTTTTATAGTCTCCAACTGATTTAAAAAATATATATATTTTATTGATTTATTACAGAGAGGAAGTGAGAGGTATAGAGAGTTAGAAACATTGATGAGAAAGAGTCATCGATCAGCTGCCTCTTGCACACCTCTACTGGGGAAGTGCCCGCAACCAAGGTACATGGCCCTGACTGGAATCGAACCCGGGACCCTTCAGTCCATAGGCTGACGCTCTATCCACTGAGACAAACCAGTTTCAGCTCCAACTGATTTTTTTAAAAATTCGAATATCTTTTTGTGCAGTGAAGAAATTCTAATGTCTCATAAACATAAAAAGATATACAGCTTGTTTTTCAAAATTGGTTTTGTCTTTGAGTTTCTTTGGGCAAAGGCAGACATTCTTTTTACTGAAGCAAAGTCTTTAGAATGCTGCTGCCACCTAGAGAATTAATTTGAGATTTCTCCAAAGCCCGTAGACCAAACAACAATGAGGCATTGTTTTTCTTGTGTGCTGTGCCTGCTTCTCATTTCAGCATGCAGTATTTGTCTCATGGTATTTCCATGTAACATTGTGTCCTGAAATTAAATCATGTTTATACATTTTTTGCTTGAGTATATTGATATGCCTGAGAGAACTGAAACCTGGCTTGTTGGCTAAATTGTCCTAGAGTTTTCTAAAATTGAAAGGTAGTCTTACTCATTCTACCTAACAGTAGCAGTAGTGCATTCAAAGGAATAAAAATAAGTGCTAATAGTTTTTGCATGATAATATGTTCAGAGTACAGTAATCCAATTCAAATTCATTTATATCTGCCAGGGCTTAATGATACTTTTTTTTGCAATCACTTTACTTGCATTTGTATGTCTCATAAAGGAGGTATTTAAAAGACTTCATAAATAATTGGAATCTAACTTATATTTAAAATTCAGCTGAAACTTGATGATATCTAAGTTCCTTAGTCTTATTAGGTAAATTTATTTTGAGTTGATAGTAAAATTAGCTGATAGTAAAAAATGGAATATTTTCTGAGTTCCTTATCTGGAGTTTAAGAAAAATGGCTTCAAAGGTTTCGCTTTATATCAGTGTTACTGCTTACAAAATCCTATACCAATCTAGGGCTAGTGAAAAAGCAGATTCAATAGCATTATGGGTGGGAGTGGGAGGCCTATATTATTTGAACTATGGAAGAGAAAACAGAATATAAATAAACCCTGCAATCCTGAAAGCAATGTCTGTTTCTTACCTAAAAACTTCCTGAAACTGGTGAGAAGGCAGTGCTTCTCAAAATACATTACCTGTGATTTACTTTTTTCACAATCTGTTATAAGTACTAGTTATAGAAAGAACAATAAAAATATACTTGTGCCCAGGCCAGTGTGATTCACCTGGTTGAGCATTATCCATTCACCAAAAGGTCCCTGGATCAATTTCCAGTCAGGACACATGCCCAGGTTCAGGGCAGTGCAGGAGGCAGTGGATCAATGTTTCACTCTCTCCTTCTCCCTTCCTCTCTCTCTAAAAACAAAAACAAAACAGCAAAGAAAAAGAAAATAAACTTTTCAAACAATGAAATACAGATACAGCAATGATAAACAAAAGGCAATCAAGACTCATTTTTAATTATTATTATATTTTAAAATATATTTTTATTGATTTTTTACAGAGAGGAAGGGAGAGGGATAGAGAGCTAGAAACATCAACGAGAGAGAAACATCGACCAGCTGCCTCCTACTCACCCACTACTGGGGATGTGCCCACAGCCAATTACATGCCCCTGACCGGAATCGAACCTGGGACCTTTCAGTCTGCTCTATCCACTGAGCCAAACTGGTTTCAGCTCATTTTTAATTATTGAGCAGACATAAACTTAATCTTACATATTGGTCCAAACATTTCTATAGACTCATTCACAATTTCATTATTCATTGCCAGGTGGTATTAAACAGTTCCTGAACTGATATAGGTCCATATGAGGAAGGATAATAAGAAGCTAGGAGTCTGGCTGGTGTTGCTCAGTGGTTGAGCATTCATTTACAAACCAGGAAGTCACGGTTTGATTCTTGGTCAGGGCACATGCCCAAGTTGTGAGCTCCATCCTATTAGGGGGTGTGCAGGAGGCAGCCAATCAATGATTCTCTCATCATTTAAAAAAAAAAACACAAATATATATATATATATATATATATATATATATATATATATATATATATTCATTGTTTGTTTTATTTTATTTTATTTTATTTTTTAAAACTAGAAAAATTATTTGCAAGTGGAATGGGGAAGCTGTGACAAGATAATTAAACAAGGTAAAATGATTTGACATTTTACAGCAAGCTATTAATCGAAAGACCTTATCTTCCTTAACCAAGGACACTGGAGAGTAAATGGTTTATACCTCTCCTCCCTAACCACAGGAAAAAAACAGCTTAAATCAGCATTGATGGGAAGACAGGGAACAGAGACCCAGTTAGTGCCATTTGTGCCTAGCAAATTGCAAGGACAGATGAGAACCAATAACAAAAAGCTCTTTTAAAGCAAAACAAAGCCAAGATAAAAGTAAAGCAGTGAGGCTGACCAGAGAATAATCCCAAACTTCACTTTAATAAGTTAACATATTGAAGGACACAGCCCCTGGTTGTTCACTTTACTCCCGAGTGTGACTGCTGTAGGGCTGTGTGCGGTGTGCGGTGTCCTCCTCCCTGGACTGTGAGTACACGTGACTAATAAATTGCTATTTTGATCATCTGCCCAATGTCAAATGTTTCCATACCGGAGGTCAGGAATCCCTCCCTTGCCAATGAGGCAGAGATTAGATTATTAAAGCAATAACAACATACACTTCCGTCACCACAATAAACCTTGTGGCTTTGATTTTGACAACAATGCAGGCTGGTTTTCAAACCCTTTGATGAACTAGTCTCTGCCATTTTGTCAATCTTATTTCAGCATAGATTCAACACACCAAGTATGTGTTTTAGTTCAGCTATTCTGTTTTGCTCCACAGGAGACTTGTTCATAAGCATCTATAATAATAAAAGCGTAATATGTTAATTAGATTGGACAGCTGAACAACTTTCTGGACACCATTCCAGATGTCCTTCTGGATGAAGCCACAGTGGTGGAGGCTGAGGCAGAGGTGGTTAGGGATGATCAGGCAGTCAGCTAAGTGGTTAGGGGCAATCAGGCAGGCAGGCAGGAGTTAAGGGTAATCAGGCAGGTAGGCAGAGGCTG